AAATAGGTAAAGGGGAGGTAAGAGAGGAGGTGGAGAAGATACTGAAAGAAATAGGAATGAAAGAGGGGATTGGAAAAAGAATAAGAAGGATAAAGACGGGAAAGGGGGATGAGAGAGAAATAGTAGTGGTGGAATTAAATAGTGAGGAAGAAAAAGCAGGATAATGGAAAGGAAAAAGAAACTGAAAGGAAGCAAGGTATGGATAGAAGACGATTTGACATATGAGGAAAGGAGAGCAAGGTGGATAATGAGAAGAATAGCGAATGAAGAAGAAGGAAAAGGAAGTAGGGTGTGGAGAGGGTATGGCAAAATAAGAATATATGAGGAATGGTGAAGGTGGGACGAAGAAGTGAGGGGGGTGGTTAATAGAAAAGGGGAAAAGAAAGTATTGACAGTAGAGGGAGAGGAGAGGAGAGGGAGGGGGAAGGGGAAGGAAAATGGGAAGGAGGAAAACTAGGCGGAGATAGAAGAGGAGAAGGGAGAGGAGGAAATAGGAAGGAAAGAGGGGAAGAAGGAAAGAGGGAGTTAAAGGTGACATTCTGGAATGTAGCAGGATTGAAAAAGAAAGATAGGGAGTTTTGGAGAGAGATAGAAAAACGGGATGTAATAACGTTAATGGAAACATGGATAGGGGAAAAAGAACAAGCGTGGTTAAAGAGGAAGCTACCGAAGGGATATACATGGGAAATACAAACGGCAAAGAGAGTTTATAGAAAAGGAAGAACAAAGGGGGGGATGGTAATGAGAATAAGGAAGGAATTAGAAGCGAGATGGGGGAGGAGGAGGAGAGGGAGGCGATGGAGGAAGTGATGGTGGGGAATGTAATAATAGAAGGAAGAAGATGGAGGATAATAGGAGTATATGTGAGAGGGGATTTAGGGAAAAGGTTGGAAAGATTAAAGGAATGGATGGAAGAGGAAGGGGGAGGAGGAAGAACGATAATTGGAGGAGATTTTAACGCAAGGACAGGAAGGAGAGGGGGAGAATATGGGAAGATGAAGAGGGGGTGAAGGAGAATAGGAAATGGAAAGACGAGCAGGAAAATAAGGAGGGAAAGGAATTGATAGAGTTTATAAATGAAAGAGGATGGATGATAGTGAACGGAGCGAAGGAAGGAGATGAGAAAGGGGAATGGACGTACATAGGGGGAAGAGGAGAATCGGTAATAGATTATGTTATAGTAAATGAGGAAGGATGGAGCAAGATAAAAAGTTTCGAGGTGGGGAACAATATAGAGTCAGATCATCATCCAATAACGGTAAGGATGGAGGGAGGAAGAGAGAGGAGAAAGAGAAGGGTAGGGAAGAGAAGGAAAGAAAAAGGGGTGTGGACGGAAAGGGCTAGAGAAAGATTTAGGGAAGAGTTGGGGGAAGTGAGAATAGGGGAAGGAAAAGTAGAAGAGGAGATCAAGGAAATGAATAAAAGGATAAAGGGAGCAATAGTAAGGGAAGAAGAAGAGGGCGAGAAGGAGAGGAGGAAAGGTTGGTGGGATGAGGAATGTAGAGTAGAGAAGAGGAAGGTAAGGAGGGAATTGAGGAGATGGAGAAGAGGGGAGGTGAATAGAGATAGATATAGAGAAGAGAAATCAAAATATAAAAAGTTATGCGAAGGAAAGAGGAAAGAAGAGAATGAGAGGTGGGAGAGGTGGGTGAATAAAAAAGTAAAAGAGGGGAAGATATGGGAAGTAATGAGGAGGGAGAGGAAAAGAAGAAAGGGAAGAAACGAAGAGATTGCATATGCAGATGACGTGGTGATAATGGCGGAGGAGGAGGGGATGAAGGCAATGATAGCGAGATTGGAAAGATATATGGAAAGGAAAGGGATGGAGGTGAATATAGGGAAAACGAAAGTGATGAGATTTAGGAAGGGAGGGGGTAGAGAGAGAAAGATGAAATGGAGATGGAAAGGAAAGGAATTGGAAGAAGTGAAGGAATATAAATATTTAGGATACGTGATGCAGAAAGATGGGGGACAGGAGAAGCATATAAAGGAAAGAGTAAAGATAGGAATGACGGTGATGGGACAGGTATGGGGAATAGGGGAATAGGGAAAAGAAGGTTTGAGAGAGAATGGGGGAAAAGAATATAGTTATATGATAGCTTAGTATGATCGGTGATAGGATATGGGGTGGAAATATGGGGGTGGGAGGAGAGGGAAGAGATAGAGAGAAGCCAGGAAAGATACATGAGATGGATACTAGGAGTAAAGAGAGAGACGCCAGGATACATGGTAAGGGAGGAATTGAAAAGAGAGAAGTTAAGAGAGAGAGAGCGGGGTTAAGGGCATGGAAATGGGAGAGAAGGCTGGAGGAGGGAAGGGGGAGCGAAATTGCGAGGAAATGTCTAGAGGAGATAAAGAAGAGAGCGGAGAAGGGGGAGAGAGTGGCGGAGTTGGGAGATGGTGAGGATAAAATTCTTCAAGGAAAGAGGATGGGACATGAGGGAGGTAAGAAAAAGGAGAGAAGAGGGAGAGACATTGGTGACAGAAATAAGAGAAAAGGGAGAGGAGCTAGGAAAAAGAGAGAGGGGGGAGAAGATAAGAGAGTCAAGGTATATAGGTGGTATGAATATGTGAAAGGGGAAGGGATACCGCAGTACTTGAAGAAGGGGTGGGGAGAAAGTAGGTGGAAAAGGATGGCGAGGTACAGATTGGGAAATGAGATGAGAGGAGGGCAGTATTGGAGGAAGGAGGAGGAGAGGAGGTGTAGGTTGTGTGAGAGGGAAGAGGAAACATGGGAGCATGTGTAGGAGGAATGTAGGAGATGGGAAAATGGAAGTGAAAAGAGTTGGAAAAAGGAAGTAAGGAGGATATTGGGAGAGGAGGGAGAGGGAGAGAGGTGGATGAGAGAATTGGAGAGGGAGAGGGGTGGGGATGAGGGGGGTAAAGGCGGAGAGGAAGTAGACAAAGAATTGGAAAAGAATGTAAATTGAAAGGCCAAGGAAACGGAAGTCCAGGAGAGGGAAGAGGTGTGTGTGTGTGTGTCAAGAGAGGGGACGAGCGGCAAGCGGGACGCGAGTTCTCCCCCAGGACCAGAAAATAAAGATCAAGGGAAGCGAATAATTGTAAGGAGGAATTGTAAAGGGTTGGGGAACGCTCCCTGCAAAAGCGCCTTCGAACCCTTAGGGGAGGAATAAATATTCATACATACATACATACATACATATGGCAAAGAATTGTACACGAGAGGAAACATGCTATAAGTGCGCTGGAAACCATAAAGCGAAAGAATGCAAGGCACAAAAGACGAAATGTATAAATTGTATGCATAAGAATCAAACGTACAACTTGAAGATCAATGAGGGGCACAATGCACTGGACCCAGAATGCCCGACATTCAAGAGAGCGTTGGGAGAAGAAAAGAAGAGAATCGGCTGGGATGAATAGCAACTACAGATGAAGTTAGAAGCAATATGGTATACAAATGCGCAAAGCTTGATGACACATAAGGACGAGATACAATAGCAGATCATGAAGAAGATAAATCCTGCGTTTTTAGCGTTGTCGGAGTCTAGATTGACTGATGAAATTGAAGATAATGAGGTAAATGTACCAGGATATACCAGATGTGTCGGTAATTCCTTTCCGGTTTTTTCGCTAAAGAAAACACGTTATTTACAATGGATAGTTAAAATATATTTATTCAAAGTATTGGCCATTTGATTCTATACATGTTGCCCATCTCTCAGGCAATTTATGGATGCCATTCCAAAAGAACTGTTTCTCCTTTGAGCTAAACCATTCATCGAACCATTTTTTAACTTCTTCGAAATCGGCGAAGTACTGCTCTGCAAGCGCGTGCCCCATCGATGCGAAAAGGTGGTAGTCGGATGGAGCCAGGTCTGGAGAGTACGGCGGGTGCGATAAAACTTCCCATCCAAGTGATTTCAACACTTCTTTGACTGGTTTTGCTGTATGAGACGACGCGTTGTCATGCTGCAAAATCACCTTATCATGTCTTTGAGCGTATTGTGGACGTTTTTCGATCAATGCACAGTTCAAATTGATCATTTGTTGTTGGTAGCGATCAGTATTAACTGTTTCTCCAGGTTTCAACAGTTCATAATATACGACACCAACCTGGTCCCACCAGACACAGAGCATGGTCTTGCGACCAAAGCGATTTGGCCTTGCAGTCGATGGGCCGCCTTCGCCAGATGATAACCATGATTTTTTTCGCTTGGGATTTTCGAAATAAATCCATTTTTCATCACCCGTTACTATTCGATGCAGAAATGACTTCCTTTCATACCTTTGAAGCAGCATTTCACTGACGATTTTTCGATTTTCCAATTGCCTGTCATTCAATTCATGTGGCACCCATCTTCCCATCTTTTGGATCTTTCCCATCGCTTGTAATCGTTCACAAATTGCTACTCGGCTCACATTCAACTTTTCTGCCAATTGTTTTTGAGTTTGTGTTGGGTCTTCATCCAATAACTCCTGCAATTCCGCATCTTCAAACGTTTTCGGCCTACCAGGACGTTTTTTGTCTTGAACGTTGAAATCACCACATTTGAATTGTCGAAACCACGTTTCACATGTTCTTATGGTTGGAGCATGCTCACCGTAAGTCTCTACCAGCAAACTATGACTTTCAGCGGCTTTTTTCTTTTGATTAAAGAAGAAAAGTAATGCGTGCCGCAAATGCACGTTTTCAGGCACAAAACTCGACATTTTCAAAAAATTATTAATCTATAACGCTGTTATTTTGGCAGAACGTAACTTGTATAGTTTTGAGGTTAATGTCAGTAGAATAAAATGACATATGTATCAAATCATAACATTGCATACTTATGGCTAGTGACATCTGTTACAAAAACCGGAAAGTAATTACCGACATACCTGGTAGTTTAGTTAGATATAATGCTGAGAATAAATATACGGGAGGAGTCATTCTATATGTCAGACATGATATTAAGCATGAAGTGATATTGAATGAAAAGATAATCTCGAATTGTTGGTGTGTAGCGATTAAAGTAAAAGTATATAAAGGTGTGATAATGGTAATCTATCGTTCTCCGAGTTTATCGGAGAGTGAATTTTTGAGTTTTTTAGAAGACAAAATTGAGCAGTTGGTCATAAAAGAATATTGTATAGTAATAGGAGATTTTAATATAAATGTAATGGGAAACTCATTTTATGCAAAAAAGATACAGACGATAATTCGAGGTTTGGGTATGAAACAATATGTAAACAAGCCGACAAGAATCACAAAAGATAGTCAGACAATTATAGATTTAGTTCTTGCCAATGGCGAAGTAAAGGTGCAAGTGAAGGATAGGCCTAAAATAACGGATCATGCGTGGTTGCAAGTTGAACTTGGCTCGAGTAGGTCGGAAAAGAAATACAGAGAATTTAGTGGTAGAGGCTACAGTAAATTTAATAGTAGCGAATTTCTTGGACTACTAGAATTGAAAGTAGTACAGGGACAAGGTTTATGTGTGAACACAAGAGCTGAAAAATTTATTGGCAGTATAGTAGATACACTAAATATTGTAGCCCCTAGGAAAATATTTAAAATTCCAAAAGTATGGGATGGGAAAAAGTGGTTCTCAGACGAAATAAGAGTAGCGACAACAAGGAGGGATGAGGCCTATTGTAAGGCAATATATACTAATGCAGAACATGATTGGTTACAGTTTAAAATTGAAAGAAATGTAGTTGTTAAGCTTATTAAGGTTAAAAAGAAAGAATATTATGAAAATATGATAAATCATAACAAAAATGATCCCAAAACAATGTGGAAAACCTTAAAAGAAGTAATTAGAGGCGAGTCAATGGAACCAAAAGTCATAGACAATTTGGATTTCGAGGTACTAAAAAGCGTAAATGAGTGCAATATAGCTAATAAATTTAATTTATTTTATGTATTAAGCATTGAGAACATAGTAAAATCTGTAAAAGAGAAGAGGGAAGCAGATAGAAAAAGTATATGTTTAATTGAAACTAAAGACACTATAGAAAACTTTGAAATGATTGGGGCAAGAAATTTAGAGGAAATTATTATGGCATTACCTAATAAGAAAGGGACAGAAGAGGGAATAACAAGTGAGATACTAAAATTAGCATTCCATGTGATAAAAGATGAGTTTGTAGAAATCATAAATGATTCTTTGAGAATCGGTCAATGTCCAGATGGATGGAAAACGTCGACGATAATACCGATACCTAAAGTTGGGAAACCAAGAATAGCTAGTGAATATAGGCCGATTAACATCCTACCGATATACGAAAAAGTATTAGAATTAGTAGTAAAAGAACAGATAGAAGCGTATTTAGAAAACAACAACATTATTTCGGAACACCAGTCGGGGTTTAGGAAACAACATTCGTGTGAAACAGCGATGCAGGTGATCATTGACGATTGGAAACTAATAATAGTCAGTGAGGGAAAAATGATTGGAGTGATATTTATGGATCTTAAGTGAGCGTTCGAGATCGTAATTAGGGAAATATTAATAGAAAATTTATATCTATACGGGATAAGAGGAACTGTATTAAAATGGCTATAATCGTATTTAAGTAATAGAATGCAGCAAGTTCAATTTGGTGATATATGGTCCAACCTGATTGATACTAAATATGGAGTACCTCAAGGATCTGTATTAGGACCCTTATTGTTTATTATATACATAAATGATGTAATTAAAAGTTGCCCAGAGGAATGTAATATAAAAATGTTTGCAGACGACACGATATTATATGTAGCCGGAGTAAGTTGCAAGGATTTGGAAAAGAAAATGAATATGATGTTTGCTGGAGTAGAAGAATGGATGAACATAAATAAATTAAAATTGAATGCAAGTAAGACAAAATATATGATAGTTAGAAGCATAAGAAAAGAACTGAAAGCAAACATTGTATTGAGATGCATGGATGGAACACCAATTGAACGTGTAAAAAAAATGAAGTATCTCGGTGTAATCATCAATAGTAAGTTAAGATTAGATGAACACTGTGATTATATGCTTAAGAAAATAGGGAAAAAAACGAGTTTTTTAAATAGAATAGGTGACAGTATAACGGCATACACTAGATGTATTGTATATAAATCGATGATTGCACCTCATTTCGAATATTGTGCGACCTTATTAATTGATATGGGCGAGACATAGTTGAATAAGCTGCAAGTAGCGCAGAACCGGGCTGCAAGGGTCATACTGCAATGCGCTCGGCATACCAAGGTGAAACAAATGATAAATGCGCTGCAGTTTATGACTGTGAGACAGAGGATATACTATAGAGTATATATTTTTATTTTTAAAATAATCAATGGTGTTTCGTCTAACCAGCTAAGAAATAGGATAGAGATAGTAGGACAGGTCAGTGGAAAACATACGAGACAAGCTGGAGACATTGTGATGCAATTTCGTAGCACAAGAAGTGCACAAAAAAGTATGTTCTATGAAGAAGTGAGGATGTATAACGCCTTGCCGACAGAATTAAAGCAAAGTACTAGGATTGATGCGTTTAAACGAATGTTAAAGGAATATATTGTAGCTGGTGTGATGGAATTATAAGGTAACTGATGTAACAAATAGCTGAGAAATCTAAATAAAGATCTCATCATCATCATCTCTCCCTCCCTCCCTCTCTCCCTTCCTCTCTCCCTCCCTCCCTCCCTCTCTCCCTCTCTCTCTCTCTCTCTCTCTCTTTCTCTCTCTCTCTCTCTCTCTCTCAACAAGTGGACGTGTTAAAGATCGCTCCGTAAATGCAGTGAATTTTAAATGGTTAAAGTGTGAGTGTTAATTATAAAAAGTAGCTGTGGTTATAAAAATACATGCAAGGAACATATAGAAAAGCTTTCTGTAGGAAATGCGTTAATCTGTGAACGATATTGATGTATTTCTCATGCGGGACATACATACCGCACGACAGGTAGACATTAGAGGTGACGTGTCTCTTAATCACGGTGACGTGAATTGACACCTGTTGATAATATCGGCGTCAGCCGAAAGTTACCGACATGGACGAAGAATATGCCGAGTATCGATGCTCGGCATGTAAGAAGGAAATAAAAAATCAAGTCATGACGTGCAAATCGTGCGTTAAATTATTTTTTCATCCGGGATGTGCAAGTAAACATAAGAGCTATGATCGAAACCGAGAATATGTGTCATGTCCTGCTCCATTTGAGAAGTTCGCAATAGAGAATGAAAAAATGGATTTGGAAACGGGAAGCAGCAGGGATAGACTGCGATCTGCAGGATCCAAAGGATCCATAAAATCCATAGGATCCATAGGAAGGATTGAAAACAGAGCAGCAGGTACGAGTGGAACCATGGATGTAAAAATGGACTGGCTCGTGAGAACCGTGAGAGAGATGACTGATGAAGTGGCATGTAAAAGAGAAATAAAAATGATGATTAAGGAAATAGTGCAAGAGGAAGTGAAAACTATTAAACAGGAACTGGAAGATTTGCGAAAAGTGATACAGGGAGCCATGAATGGATCAGCAGAAAGTGCCCGCAGCAGTTACAGTGAAGCTGCGAAGAAAAAGAAGGAAAATATCATAATCATCAAGCCGAAGATTCAGCAGGAAAGTGAGACCATTAAAAAAGTGATAAAAGAAAAGGTGGATATTAAGAAGATGTCAATGGGTATAACAAAATTAAGAAAAGGAAGAGAAGGAATGGTGATTCTAGGCTGTGAGACTGGAGAAGAAATGGTGAAATTAAAAGATACAGTGCAGACTAAGCTAGGTGAAAACTACAGTATTACAGAATCACTGCAAATAAAACCAAAAATAAAAATTATCAATATCAGTGAAGAAGAAATGGAATTGGACGATGACGAACTAATACATACAGTCAAGAAGCAAAATAGTATGGATGGGTCGCATATAAGAATAGTAAAAAGAATATTGAAAAAGAAGAACAAAGATAATAGACAATCTGAAAGTAAAGAAAAAGAAGGTGGATCTGTAATAATTGAAGTAGATGAAGGAACACATAACTTGATGTTAAAGAAAGAAAAATTAAATATAGGCTGGAGAAAATGTCCTGTGTTTAATTACTACAGCGTTAAAAGATGTTTCAAATGCTGGAGATTCTATCACATTGCGAAAAATTGTACGCGAGATGAAACGTGTCATAAATGCGCAGGGAAACATAAAGCGACGGAATGCACAGCGACGAAAAACAAATGCGTAAATTGTGTGTTTAAAATAACGTATAATCTGAAAATAAATGACGAACATGATGTCCGGAGTGTCCTACATATAAGAGGGCTATCGAGGAGGAGAAACGAAGAGCTGGATGGGATGTCAATAAGAAATAGCAACCACAGAAGGAAGAGGAACAAATAATGTATACAAACGCGCAAAGCTTAATGGCACATAAAGATGAGATACAGCATCAGATCATGAAGAAGATAAATCCTGCAATCATGGCACTATCGGAAACTAGACTGATCACTGAAATCGAAGATTGTGAAGTGAATATATTGGGTTACAGTATGATTAGATGTGATGCTGAAAATAGGAATACAGGGGGAGTCGCGTTGTATGTAAGAGATGATATCAGCTACGAAGTAATCTTGTCAAAAAAGATTGAAGCAAACTGCTGGTGTGTTGCGTTAGAAATAAAATTAAAACTGTATAAAGGAGTATTAATGGTAGTATACCATTCACCGAGTGCGTCACATGGTGAGTTTATAAGATTTTAAAAGGAGATAATAGAAGAATTAACGATAAAAGAAGAATATATGATAATAGGAGACTTTAATATAGATTGTATGACGGGTTCTTTTTATACAAATAAGTTGTTAACGATTATGCAGAATTTAGGTATGAAACAGTATGTTGAGAAACCAACGAGAGTTACAAATAATAGTAAAACAATTATAGATCTAATTTTTGCTAATAAGGAAATAAATGTACAAGTAGATTATGAACCTAAGATAACGGACCACGCATGGCTAAAAGTGGTGCTAAATGTGAGCAAGAATGAAAATAAATATAAGGAATTTAGTGGCAGGGATTATAGTAGATTTAATATAGATGAATTTGTTAAGATAGTGGAAAGAAATCTAGGAAAGAAACAAGATATAGATATTAATGTAAGAGCAAGAAAACTTATCCATAGTGGATGCACTAGATACCTTGGCACCGAAGAAAATTTTTAGAATTCCAAAAATATGGGAAGGGAAAAAATGGTATACGAATGAAATAGAAGAGTTAGCGACAGAAAGGGATAAGGCGTATAGAAAAGCATTGCATGAAGATACAGAACAAAATTGGCAACAATTTAAAAATAAAAGAAATGCAGTAGTTAAATTAATTAAAACAAAAAAAAAAGAGTACTATGAAAACAAAATAGATCAAAATAAAGATAATCCGACAAGTATATGGAAAACCTTAACCGTTTCACTGCTACGCGGCGCAAAAGCGCTGCGTTCATTTGTCTCGAAAACCGCGACGCAGCGCTTTTGCGCTGCGAGTTTCAGTGTGTCTTTGTTACTCCGTGGAAGTGAACGTAATCTGACCTCACGCGTACTTTGTAACACGAGTGCATTCTAAAATAACTTTTTTAATAAAATACCGTTTTTATATATTATTTTTAAAAAATAACCATGTCACGGGCTATTATTTCGGACGTTGATTCGATTGCTAGTGATTCTGAGGATGGTGAAAGAACAGACACAAGTAGTGATGATAGCATTATTATAACTCATCAAAGAAAAAGACTGAGGATTGAAAGTGAGTCTTCTATCTCATCTTCATCTTCAGAAACAGAAGAAACACCAACTTTTACGAATATTCCTCCGACAAATGTGTTTTCCAAAGCAACAAATAATTTTTTCGAGACTCCTGGACCACATCAAAAATTATTGACGATATCGAAAAGGAGTGGATGAATCATAAAAATAGCGTGTCAACACAACCATCTTCATCAACCAAAAAATTTGCGCTTGAAAAATTACCGGGACGTAACTTACGACAATGTGCGGTGTGTAGCAACAGAAGGAGCGGGATCAAGCGATCCCGCCTTATTTGCGCTTGTTGTAAAAAAGGCCTTCACGCTATTTGTGCGGCAAAACATAGTTGTTATACATAAATTTTTCATGTAAGAGTCAGTGATCTTCCCCTAATCAAAATGATCCTTACGTGCTGATCATAAGAGAAGATCAATAAACTTTAAGTTATCTTTTTATAAATTTTAATTTTCAAAGAAAAAAACAATTTAATGTTTATTTTTTCTTATTCACAATCACAATTAATATTGTTTCTTTATAATACGAAAAGAATTATTAAAATTGATTGATATTTGTCTAAATGAGAGTGTTTTATTTGACAACATCAAGTCAAAATATGTCCCGCAGTTTTCGTGCGTTCTTGCAAGAATTGCTTAGCAGTCAAACGGTTAAAAGAAGTTATTAGAGGCGAGACGGTAAGTGCAAAGGCAATAGAAAATATAGACTTTGAAACATTAGATAATGTTACAGAGTGTAATATAGCTGATAAATTTAATTTGTATTATATACAGAATATTAATGATATAATAAAATCTGTAGGTAGTAATAATACACCAAGTACAAGTAAGAAAACTATTTATGTTAGTGAAAATAAGGGAGAGATGGAAAAATTTGAAATGATCACGATAAAACAGTTGGAAGAAATTATTAAGGAATTACCAAAAAAGAAAGGCACAGAAGAAGGAACAACTAGCGATATATTAAAAGCGGTGCTTTATGTAATAAAGGAAGAATTTAGTGATATAATAAATAAGTCGTTAAGTGAAGGGTGCTTTCTGGAAGAATGGAAAACATCCACGATAATTTCGATTCCAAAAATAGGAAAACCAAAGAAGGCAAGCGAATATAGGCCTATTAATATGCTACCAATATATGAGAAGGTACTAGAGATAGTAATTAAAAAACAAATTGAAGGGTATCTAGAGAATAATAATATCATAACGGAACATTAGTCGGGTTTTAGGAAAAATTATTCGTGTGAAACAGCAATTCAAATAATCATAGATGAATGGAAATTGGTAATTAGTGAAAGAAAAATGGTAGGAGTTATATTTATGGATCTTAAACGTGCATTCGAGACAATTGATAGAGAAAGGTTATTAGGGGAAATATATCAGTATGGTATTAAAGAAGCGGTTCTAGAATAGTTCAGATCACATTTACAAAATAGAACGCAGCAAGTACGGTATAAGGATGAATGGTCTAAATTATTGAACACGGAATATGGGGTGCCACAGGGATCGGTATTAGGTCCATTGTTGTTCATAATATACATAAATGATATTGTTAAAGCTTGCCCGGAGGATTGTAAAATAAAAATGTTTGCAGGTGATACCTTAATATATGTAACAGGCGAAAGTAGTATGGAGATAGAGAGGAAAATGAATGTAGCGTTAAATGTAATGGGAGAATGGATGAATAATAATAAACTAAAGATGAATGCAGAGAAAACAAAATATATGATAGTTAGAAGTATACGAAAAGAGTTGAAAGGTAATATTGCTCTGAAATGTTTGGATGGTACTGTGATAGAGCGGGTAGAAGTAATGAAGTACTTAGGCGTAATGATTGATGACAGTCTTAGGTTTAACGATCATTGCGATTACATGTTAAAGAAAATAGGGAAAAAAATAAGTTTTTTAAATAGAATAGGAAATTATATATCGGCATATACTAGATGTATTATACAGAGTGGGTGGTTATAAGTTTACAATCTGAAGTGTACAGGTAGATTACATTAAGACAAACATAAAAGTCCCACACCGTTTACCGAGATTCGCAATGGTTATCGAGTTATTAATGACAGAAATCTTGAAGAGGGGAGCGCGCCGGCATAGATGATTGGAGAAACGTTGCAGCTGCTCAGGCTACAGCGCGGCCCACTCGGCACAGCAACTGTGGACGGCGTGCGGTGAGACGTAATTCCGACGAGATAAAACAACGAATAGCGGCGCGTTGTCCTTCCCCTCGTCTTCCCGCTATGTCGGCGCGCTTCTGCTCCTCAGATTTCTGTCATTAATAACTTGATAATTATTGCGAATATTGCAACACGGTATGGGACTTTTATGTTTATCTTAACCCAATCTACCTTCACACTTCGGGTTGGCAGCTTATGACCGGCCACCCTATAAATGCGCGTTTTCGTCACGCGTTCTCCTTGCGGAGATAATTATCGGTGCTATCCTTTCCACACCACCTAGCGGTAGATAGCATGGCGCGTTTTTTTTATAGTGGTATCCCCAGGAGGCCTAATTCACTGTACATTAATGCATTAATGTAAAAACTGCTCGAAGTGTCGTCCTCGCATACAAAATTTGGCTCTTCGTTTAATATCATGCGTTGCTCGGTGCGTCATTTCCGGCGTGATAGTATTGAAGGCCGCGTCAATTGCCTCACGTACTTCTTGTTCTGTACCATCACGCCGCTGTTCGATTAAATTCTTAACGTGACCCCATAAGAAATAATCGAGCACATTAAGGTCAGGAGATCGCGGCGGCCAGGTGATCGGACCACCTCGACCTATCCACCTTTCCGGGAAACGCGTATCTAATGTATCTCGCACTTGCCGGCTAAAGTGCGCAGGAGCTCCATCATGTTGAAAGATCAACTCCGCTCGTGCCTGTAGAGGGACGTCCTCGAGTAGCCCTGGGAGTTGATTTTTGATAAAATCCGCATAAATCTCGCCATTAAGCCGAGGTGGCAAAAAGTACGGACCGATCTGAAAATTATGAAATATTAGAAAATCATTGCGAGAAAGAAGTTTCTTCAATCGAATGATACTCACCACTCGGTCCGCAATTACTCCGGCCCAAACATTAATACTCCAGCGGTACTGGAACGCGCCTTCTCGAACGGCGTGTGGATATTCCTCCTGCCACAATAGGAAATTCCGCGAATTAAATACACCGTTCGGTGTAAAGGTCGACTCGTCCGTCCACAGGATGCGGTCGGGGAATGAAATATCCCGCCGACACTGCATGAGTAAACCTATGTATTTCAACGGTGATTAATAAAATCAATAAACTGGCAGCAAAAGAAATAACTTGTAAAGCCAATACCTTCACAGAAAAAGACGCGCTTCTGCTCATCTGCTGGGAGAAGTTACTGCACGCGTTGGAAATGATACGGGCGCAGATTGTTCTCCCGTAATGTGCGCCGCACCAAATTGCGCGAGACATCCAATGCAGTCGCTACCTTTCGCGTGCTGTTGCCGGTGTCTCTCTCAAATTCGTGCAAAATGCGCTCTTCGGTATTTACATTCTGCACTCTTTCACCTTCTTCTCGTGTATGTCGCAGGACCGATCCCGTCGCCCTTAATCTCGCAATACACGAGACAATTGTGTGTCGAGAGGGTTTGTCGCGCGCGGGAAATCTTTCTGCGTATAAACGTTCCGCGGCAAGTGCGTTCTCACCCGCCAAACCGTACGTTATAATCATATCGGCGTATTCACTCGCGGTGAACATTTTTACACGTTTCTTCCAATAGTTATTTCTTCAGGCTGTATCGTCCACTGAGGCCGTGTCCGCAGCCGCATTCCACGAGTTTGCCTAAAACAATTGACGATCGACGAAGACGGCGTAAAGAGATTCGCCGTTGAGATGTGATATGAGAATGTCTTCGTCGCGTTTATAGGGTGGCCGGTCATAAGCTGCCAACCCGAAGTGTGAAGATAGATTGGGTTAAGATAAACATAAAAGTCCCATACCGTGTTGTAATATTCGCAATAATTATCGAGTTATTAATGACAGAAATCTGAGGAGCAGAAGCGCGCCGACATAGCGGGAAGACGAGGGGAAGGACAACACGCCGCTATTCGTTGTTTTATCTCGTCGGAATTACATCTCACCGCACGCCGTCCACAGTTGCTGTGCCGAGTGGGCCGCGCTGTAGCCTGAGCAGCTGCAACGTTTCTCCAATCATCTATGCCGGCGCGCTCCCACTCTTCAAGATTTCTGTCATTAATAACTCGATAATCATTGCGAATCTCGGTAAACGGTATGGGACTTTTATGTTTGTCTTAATGTAATCTACCTGTATACTTCAGATTGTAAACTTATAACCTAAACTTCAGATTGTAAACTTATAACCCTATATATAAGACAATTATAGTACCGCACTTTGAATATTGTGCGACACTGTTAGCTGATTTAGGTGAGTCACAGCTAAGTAGGTTGCAGAAAGCGCAAAACCGAGCTATGAGAGTCATATTGCAATGTGATAGATATGCGAAAATCGTTGCAGTTTATGTCCATAAGGCAGAGATTATACTATAATATGATTATATTTATTTACAAGATTTTATATAACATGATGCCAGAGCAGCTAAGTGATAGACTTAGTGTAGTGTGACATATAACTGAAAAGCAAACAAGGCAAGCCGGGAATATTGCGGTGGACTTTCGTAGAACAAAAAGTGCCCAAAAAAGTCTATTATTTGAGGGAATAATAATGTACAATGCTCTGCCGGACGAAGTTAAACGGTGCGAAAGATTGGATATATTTAAACGTATGTTAAAAGAGTTCATTATAAGTAGTTTGACATAAATAAGGATTAACGTAAACATATGTAATCAAAATAGCTGAAAAAGCTAATAAAGAATCAATCAATCAATCAATCTCTCTTTCCCTCTCTCTCCCTCTTTCTGCCCCTCTCTCCCCCTCTCTCCCTCTCTCTCCCTCTCTCTCTCTCTCTCCCTCTCTCTATCTGTGAAAACGAACAAAATTTTGGGAGAAAATAGTGGACCAAAATGGACTGGAGAAAAATAACGTCGAGAGAAAGATAGTGTATAAGGCGGCAAAGGCTAATTCAGAAAAGTTAGTGGTAATAGCGGAGGTGAATAATGAGACAAGAGAGAAATTTTTGCAGATGGGAAAATTAAAAATAGGGTGGAACATATGCAAAGTACAAGACTATATAGGGATTCTAAGGTATTTCAAGTGTTGTGGATATTATCATTTTGCTAAAGATTGTAAGAAAAAAAAACCTGCGGAAATTGCGCAAAACAACATGCAATGAAGGAATGTAAAAGTGAGACGAAAAAGTGTGGTAACTGTGAGGAAAGAAATTAGGGTCTTTAAAATTAAAAACTTGAAATCGGATCATTCGGTGTATGATAGTAATTGTCCGTGTTTTAAGAAAGAAATAGAAAAACAAAAAGATAGAATCAAATGTAATAATATATAGCAATCAGGGAACGTAAGCAGGGACAGAAGCAAAATAATCTGTTTAAATGCACAGGGATTTTTGAGACAAAGATGAAATAGAGAATGTGTTGGTAAAGAAATATAAACCAAATATAATAGGATTAACTGAAACTCATGTAACAGAGCAGATAGAGGATCACGAATTATACATTAGCGGGTATGTTTGTGTGAGAGGTGACTCAGAATCTAGTAGAACGGGCGGAGTATTATTATATATAGATAGAAGAATTAAATTTGAAATAATAGCTATAGAAGCCTGCGAGAAAAATTTGTGGACAATAATAGTACAAATGAAAGACAGAAACTATATAGGAATAATCATGATGGTTTATCACTCGCCAAATGGAAAAGATGCTAGTTTCATTGACTTTCTTGAGGAAACATGTATTAGCAGTATGCAGAATAACGGTAATAATGGCAATAATGGGCGACTTCAACATAGATATGAAAGTAAATAATTTTACTCAAAGTAAATTAACTAGAGTAACGAATTCTGTAGGCTTGAAGCAACTAGTAAGAGAGGCAACTAGAATTATATTAAACTCGGAAACAATAATTGATTTAGTTTTTTCTAATATTGAGATGGAAGTTGAAGTATGGCATGAACCCAAGATAACGGATCATTCGGCAATAGTTTTATATTGGAATGTAGAACTGGTAACAAATGAGAATAAAATTATTAAGTACAGAGATTATAAGCGAATGGATATAGGTAAATTTAAAGGAAAGATAAGCACTTGTTTGAATGTTATTGAAGAAGATAATATTAATATATTAACAAATTTGATGGTTAGAGAGATTATCAAGTGTCTTGATTTAACTGCGCCACAAAAAACAATGCTACTAAAGCAGAAAAGACAGGGAAAGAAATAGTTTTGTGAGTACATATATCAACTAATAAAGCAAAGGGACGAAGCACATAAGGTAGCTCGTATAAGTAAAAATGAAAGTGACTGCGAAGTATTTAGGCAGCTAAGGAATAAAACTGTGGGTATATGCAGGAAAGCAAAAAGAGGTTATATAGAAGAAAAACTAAATAAAAATAAAAAGGATCCGAAACAAATGTAGAGGGTACTGAAAGAAATGTTGAAAGGTAATGAAACTGATAAAGGATATAAAGAAATACAAGTAGGAAGGAAAGTAACCTGTAATGTTGAGGAAATGGCCGATAAATTTAATTGGTATTTTGTTGACAGTATTAGGGCATAACACCCAAAATTAGTAGGGAAGATTGCATAGGATACAGAAAATATACTGACTGTGTTCTAGAAATATTCACACAAATAGAAATAGAGCAATTATATAAAATAGTCCGAAAATTAGAAAATAAGGCAGGTACAGAAGAAGGTATAACAGTAGAAATAATGAAGCATGTAGTAGAAGCAGCAGGGGAAAAAATATGCACTATACTAAATAAGTCACTCCCGAAAAGGGAGTATTCCCTAATGAATGGAAAGAAGCGATTGCAGTTCCGGTACCTAAAGTTCGAGGAACGAATAAAGTTGAAGAATTTAGACCGATAAATAAATTACCAGTATACGAGAAAATATTGGAGATAATAGTTAAAAAGCAATTAGTAGAGTACTTAGAAAATAATGAACTGATCAGAGTGTCAATCGGGCTTTAGGGCAAAACATTCATGCGAAACTGCATTACAGTGGGTAGTTTTGGATTGGAAGAGAATAATAGGAGATAGAAAAATGATAGGAGTGGTTTTCTTAGATCTAAAAAGAACATTTGAAGCAGTGGATAGAGAAATCTTGATTAATAAACTGCAATGGTATGGGATACAAGGGGCAGTATTAAACTGGTTTAAAAGTTACTTGCAGAATAGATCTCAGAGAGTAAAATTTAATGGAGTCCTGTCAAATCCCGTTGATGTGGATCTAGGTATTCCTCAAGGGTCAGTGTTAGGACCCTTGTTATTCATAATATACATAAACGACATAGTAGAGGCTATTAGTGAGAACTGTGCAATAAGATTGTTTGCGGATGATGCACTGATTTATACGACGGGGTATTCAATTGTGGAAATTAATGATAGTCTGAATGAGCAAATGAGGAGAGTGGAAGAATGGTTAAGGATAAATAGACTGTGTGTTAATGTTGATAAGACGAAGGTTATGTTATTGAGAGGAGTTAGAAAAAAGGCAATAGAGGACAATTTAAAAGTTATGCTGCAGAATAAGACACTAGAGATTGTGAGTGAAATTAAATATTTAGGAGTAATAATTGATAAGAATTTAAATTTTTCTAAATATGTAAACTATATTAGTAAAAAAGTAGGCGCGAAGTTAGATGTTATGCGGAGAATTGGGATGAATATATCAGTAAACATGAGGTGCATTATGTATAAAACAATAGTAAGTCCGTTGTTTGAATATTGCTCATCTATATTGGTGGGTGTAAGTAATACAAATTTGGAACATCTACAAAAGATGCAAAATCAAGGGATGAGAATAATACTTAGGTGCAACAGAAGAATAAGAATTATTGATATGCTAAAAGCGCTACATTTTATGTCGATAAAAGAACGAATTGAGTACAATACTTGTGTACTTATATATAAAATTGTAAATAGGTTATGTCCCATATACAGGGTGCACGATTTATCTGAAGACATTGAAATATCTCGAGAACTATGCATTGGATAAAAAAAGTGGTTGATGAAAGTTGTTAGTCCCGAAGGGGGACATCCAATGATACCAAACTCGACCTCCCACCCCACTCCCTGGGGGTGGGGGTTGGGAGCAACTTTGAAATCTTAAATGGAAACCCCCATTTTTATTGCAGATACGGATTCTACGCCACAAAATACGTAAATTAGGTCCGAAACTTTTTTTTTATTCGTGATAGATGGCGCTGTAATCGCACGGGAAGTATTAGACCGTGATTACAATGGTCGGTGGATTGGCAGAGGTGGCCTGATTAATTGGCCTGCTAAGTCGCCTGATTTGACATCGCCGGATTTTTTTCTGTCCCCTTCGAGACTAATAACTTTCATCAACCACTTTTTTTTATCCAATGCATAGTTCTCGAGATATTTCAATGTCTTCAGATAAATCGTGCACCCTGTATATGCAAAACAATATAGATTTAGTACAATATGGAGAGGGTGTAAGCATGCGACAAGAAGGAAATATCTATATCAATAGATGTAGAACCACGAAAGAACAAAAAATGTTATGGTATAAAGGAATGAAAATGTACAATGCGTTGACGAATGAAGTAAAAAGAGAAGACAGTTTGCCAAAGTTCAGAAGAAAGTTAGTGAAATATATTCAGAGTAGAGAGAGGGGAACAAATATGTAAGAGAGTTCCGTTGAGCGGAATATCTTACTAGAATATTATTTATTGTATTTAAAAGCAAATTATATGTAGCTATTGAAGCTAATAAACGGCTATCATCATCTCTCTCTCTCCCTCTCCATCTCCCTCTCCCTCACTCTCCCCCCCTCTCTCTCTCTCCCTCTCCCTCACTCTCCCCCTCACCCTCTCTCTCTCCCTCCCTCTCCCTCACTCTCCCCCTCTCCCTCACTCTCCCCTCTCCCTCTCTCTCTCTCTCTCCCTCCCTCTCCCTCTCTCCCTCACTCTCTCTCTCCCTCTCTCTTTCTCTCCCTCTCTCTTTCTCTCCCTCTCTCTTTCCCTCTCTCTCTCCCTCCCTCTCCCTCTCTCTCTCTCTCTCTCCCTCTCTCTCCCTCTCTCTCTCCCTCCCTCCCTCTCCATCTCCCTCTCTCTCTCTCTCTCCCCCGCTCCCTCCCTCTCCCCCTTCTCTCGCCCTCCCCCTCTCTCTCTCTCGCTCTCTCTCACTAATATAACTCCATTCGGACTCCTTTCATACAAACTGTCACTCGGCTGTCATTCGCCGCGATGACAGCCGCAAACGGCACAAAGCCAGCCGCAATGACGACCAATCAGCATCGCGGAAAAGGGACCTCAACATTTCGATAGATTCGACCGACCGACAAGTTCGCAGCGTTACACGCCTCGTTTACTAAAGGGATACTATATTCTAGCATATCTCTTACTTACTCGCTCGCATTCGCTGCTGTCTGCTTCTTCAGCGCTCTCGTAGCGCCCCTGGTGTCGAAAAAGCAATGTGCATGCATATCCCTACTCCTCTGCGTCCGACGTTTCTTTCTTACTGAATCGAAATTTTCCGTGATTCGGACTTTATTTATCTTAAAATGCCTCCACAGAGACAACGTATACAAAAAGCACAAGAACACTTTTCTTCCAAATGTTTAAGGCCGAGTCGATTGAGACTAAAAAACCTCGCTCGGTTCAGCCATTACTGAGATATTAATATCTCACCTCGTATTACTCGCAGTTTCGCGTAATATAGGCACGGTGTGCTTCACGCATTTCGGTTGTTTCAAATTTAATATTGATATAAGTATATATCGAAAAAACATATAGAAAATATATTTTCAATTTGAAACATGTTTATTACATATATACATGTTATCATACAAGCACATACAAATCTCTTTATATATTTTTATTTTTTTATTTGTTTTATACATCTGAAATTTAATATTAATGTAAATGTCGAAAGAGCATATATAGAAAGTGCAATTTTTATTTGAAATGTATTTACTAAAAATATACATATATACATATCTCAATAGAAATAGGAATATGCCATCTTTTTAACATATAATGTAAAGTAAAATATGAAAAGTGTGTAACATAATTTATAAAATACATAATATAATTGATAAATATGCAGAATACTAGTATCAATTCTAATTTCTCTGATCTTTATATATGTTCTCAAGGGCATGTTCATGTAACCTTCTGCAAGTTGTAGGTGGTAGGTCACCTTTTATAAAAAAGTCACGGACAAAAAAAGTTTGAGGAAATAAGCATACTTATGAGCGGCAACATATGTGATTATCAGAGAAATCAGAGCTGATATCAGTATTCTGCATATTTATTAATTATATTATACAGGGTCCCGTTTTAAAGGATCCATTCAAATATCTTAGAAACACTGCATTAAATCGAAAAATATTTCAGACAAAAGTTATATGATTTAAAGAGAAATATAAAACAAATATATCAGTTTGTTTATAGATGAAGCCACTTTCAAGATATTTACCGACCATTATTTTTTTTAAATGGAATTCCAAATTTTTGTTATATATCATCTTTTTCTACTAATTAATTTTAACAACTTTTGTCTGAAACATTTTTTTATTTACCTAATATGTTTTAAGATATTTAAGGAAAACTTGATGATTTTTTCAATATTTAACTTGCAATATCTCGCTAACTATTTGTCGGAAAAAAAAAGACTCATCGATCTTTGGAAATTTCAAAATTATCTAATTACCAAAAGTTAGGGCACCATTGTAACCATACTCTTGAGACTAAGTAGAATAAAAAGGTCTCGAACCACTTTTTCTTCTGACAAACAGCTAGCGAGATTGTAAGTTAAATGTTAATAAAGTTACCAAGTTTTCCTTAAATGTCTAAAAAAATATTAGACAAGTAGAAAATGTTTCAGATAAAAGTTGTTCAAATTAATTGGTAGAAAAAAATAGTGTAATAAAAAATTGGGATTTTCATTTAAAAAAAGCAATGATCAGTGAATATCTCGAAAGTATCATCTGTAAACAAACTAATATAGTTTTTTGTATTATGTCCTTCTTGAAACCATACAATTTTGCCTGGTACATTTTTCACTAAAATGCTTCGTTTTCGAAATATAAGTCTGTAACTCTATAACTGACTCACCCGCTATATTTATTTACTTACTTATATATTTGTGCCCGTGCCCATACATACACATGCACGCGCACACATACTAATATACAGGGTGTCCCATTTTAATGTCCAACCCCAAATAACTTCAATATTGAAGTTTCAAGGAAAATGATCTGCGTAAAAGTTGTAGGGATTTAAGTGAGCTACCTTATGATGACCTTGACTTTGACCTTAACCTCTATTTTCAAGGTTATTTGGAGATCAACTTGCGTTTCTTAAACGGGAACCCTTATTTTTTATTACACTGTTTTCTTCTACTAGTTAATTTGAACAACTTTTGTCTAAAATATTTTTTTATTTGTCTAATATTTTTTGAGATATTTGAGCAAAACTTAATAACTTTTTCAATATTTAATAATATTTAATTTACGATATCTCGCTAATTATTTGTCCGAAGAAAAAGTAGTACTAGACTTTCTTGCTTTATTTAGTCTCAAAAATATATTGTTACAATAGCGCCCTGATTTTTGTTAATTTGATGATTTTGAAATTTCCAAAAATCAGTATTATATTATACAGGGTTTTTCAATTGGTGCGGGTCGATGTTGGCAGCCTGTGGCGGCCATGTTTTGGCGGCGTCTGTCTAACCTGTTGTTTATTATTCAGTCACTGATGCCAAATCACCATGACAAGTTACACGATTGAGCAGCACGTCCAAATGATAAAACTTTATTATCAAAATGAGTGTTCGTTAGTGCAAACGTTGCGCGCGTTGTGCCCATTTTACGGCAGACGCGGTGGCCCTTCAAAGTCGACTTTCCAACGTTTGGTGACCAAATTCGAGACGACCGGTTCGGTAAACGATCAGCCAACACCCGTACGTCAAAAGAACGCCAGATCGACCGAGAACATCGCCGCTGTAAGTGAAAGTGTGCAGGAGAACCTGAGGTAGTCAATTCCTCGCCGTGCACAAGAACTCGGCCTTTCGCAGACTTCAACTTGACGAATTTTGCGTCGGGACTTGGGCCTGCACCCGTACAAGATCCAACTGGCCCAAGAGCTCAAAGTTAATGACCATAGACAACGCCGCTTGTTCGCTGACTGGGCTTCGGAGCATTTGGAAGAGGACCCCAATTTTGGGGTCCGAAAAATCATCTTTAGCGACGAGGCGCATTTTTGGATGAATGGCTATGTTAACAAACATAATTGCCGTACATGGCACGACGCCAACCCACACGAGGTTCAACAGGTAGCAATGCATCCACAAAAAGTTACTGTTTGGTGCGGATTTTGGGCCGGTGGCGTCATTGGTCCGTACTTTTTCGAAAACGACGTTGATGAGACCATCACCGTCAATGGCGAGCGCTACAGAACGATGATAACCAATTTCTTTTGGTCCAAATTGAACGATATGGACGTGGACGACATGTTCCAGCAGGACGGCGCTACGTGCCACACAGCAGACGCCACGATGGACATTCTGCATGAACGATTTGAGGGTATGGTTATCTCTCGCAGAGGTGACGTGAATTGGCCACCAAAATCGTGCGATTTAACCCCGCTAGACTTTTTCTTGTGGGGTTTTCTGAAATCGCAGGTCTATGCCAATAAGCCGCAATCGACCGATGCCCTTAAAGTCAACATAACCCAGGCCATCGCTCAAATTCAGCCGGATCTATGCGGCAGAATCATTGAAAATTGGACCACTCGGATCCGTGCCACCGTGAGAAGCCGCGGCGGACATTTGAACGATGTTATATTCCACACATAATGGCATACATGGGCCTTTCAAATAAAAAAAGAATTTCGTTAATACCTCACACACAGCTTGTTTTATTCCATTGCAACATCGACCCGCCCTTATTGAAAAACCCTTTATATTATTTATAATTTCCCATAAGAATTCTGCCGGGTCGGCGCTCACGTTTTTATTTCGTGTAATACGTTGGATATCATATTATTAGGATTAATTAGTTTTCCACTTATAATATGAGAAAATATGTAGCGAGAAAATATGTATTGGCGTGTGTGCATGTACCAATAAATTAAAAAATAAATAACGATTTGCTGTAGGTTGCCGAAACGCACCTATTTCTTTAGAGGCAAGATCATTGACTGGATGGAGTACTTCTAGACACTGCGTCGTCGCAAAAATTTTAGATATCACACCATCTTTCTTCCAATCTATTAAAAGTAAAGCTGGTGCATTGGTAATTGTTTTACCTGAAAGAATGGATGAGCTAATGATGGAACAAAAGCAGGTTAATCATAAAATTAATATTATCGTTGCAATATGTTTTAACATATTACTATTTTAAATGATTAGAAATAATTCGTTACAAGATACACTTTTATAACTTATTTTGATTTTAGCACATTATGAATTTAGAAGAGTCTATGATGTATGGTTCTGAGACGATGATACCAGTATACTTTGTATTATGGCATTCAGATCTTCAAACAATCCTAGATGATATTGCGGAAGGCTTTATTACTGACGAAAAAGCTGGTTCAGCAGCAGAAGCCATGTATAATTCAATTTCCGCTAGTGGTTATCAAGTAGTAGTAGCTTCTGGACAAGCGCTTCCTAAAACAGATGTCAAAGTTGCTACTCTGCATGGCAAATTGACTGGTACTGGTGCTGAAGAAAAATTACCTACAATAGCGATAGTGACACATTATGATAGTGCTGGCATAGCGCCTGTAAGTTTTATTTTTTTTAATATTATGTAATATCTAATATTTATAAAACTCTATATATCATGTTAAACAAGATATGGTACATTTTATTGCCATTGTAGGAATTATCATTTGGTGCAGACAGTAATGCTTCTGGCATATCAATGCTTCTAGAAATAGCAAGACTGTTCTCTGCCTTATATTCTACCGGTCGATCAAGACCACAATACAATCTTGTTTTCATTATAACTGGAGCTGGTAAATTAAATTATCAAGGTAGCAAGAAATGGTTAGAAGATCAATTGGATGGTCTTGAAGGATCTATTATACAGGTAATTATAGCATGCAAAACTGCGGATTTATTGACAATATAAAAGAAGATATATGATATTTCATTTTCGACATAATATATCTACTGTAATTTAATGTGTCAACAGTAATAAACTAAGAATTTTAATTCTGTATACATCCTTGTTTTTTTCATATAATACAATGTAAATATTCAAATATACAATTATATTTATTTTGATTGTAGGACGCAGCTTATGTTATATGCCTCGATACACTTTCCGCAAGTGATAATTTATACGTACATGTATCGAAACCGCCTAAAGAAAATTCGTCTGGTGGTTTGTTTTACAAAGAACTTAAGGCTGTGTCACAGTCCTTATATGCTATCAATGTTGAAGGTGTTCATAAAAAGATAAATCTTGCAGAAGAAATATTAGCTTGGGAACATGAAAGATACAGCATTCGAAGATTGCCAGCTGCGACTCTGTCTACATTAAAGAGTCACGAAGATCTATCTAGAACTACTGTATTAGATGTTACTAGGGAAGGACAAGTAGATAAATTGTACAAACATACTCAAGTTGTCTCTGAAGCATTAGCGCGTCATATATATAATTTGAGTTCTAATCAAATCTTTGCTGGTTCATTGGTATGTTTATATTGCTATATTCATAATATTGTGTGTATGTATGTGTGTGTGATAATTATAGTGCTTGTGCTCGATCAAACCAAACAGGAAAATTTTTAAACGCTGCAGATTTCGCAATAGTTATTAAGGAATTAATTAAACAATATTAAGGAGAAGCCATCTGTTTTACCGACATATTGATTTCAATCTGTTCAATTAAAAATCTTTTTGTTGTACAGATTGAAGAATTCCTTACCACAATTAAAGTACTTATAATAACGAAGATCCGGGATCTACAGTTTTATGTAAAATTAAATAAAAAGTTAAAAAAATTAAAAAAGTTATTGTTTCGTTATCGTGTTCTACGTTGGATCATAACTATATTAATAAAATATAAAAGTTCTGCAGTTTATCCATGTAAAAGCTTTTGCTCCAAGACTAAACATAATATGAAAGAATAATATTAAAGTACAAAAAAATAAGCTTAAAAGTCTGTGTAAAAAAGTTTTTAGTCGAAAGTTAATGTGTTGCATGTGGAATTGTGTTTGCTACACTTTGAGATAAAATAAAACAGTAGATTAGTTCCGCATAATCATGATCGATGAATCTGCAGGCAAACACAATCGTACTATTCTTGTCTGTTTCATGCATAGAGTCATGTTATGATAATGAAACTGTAATTGTTTAATTTTCTTTTAATTTTATATGAAATTGTTGCTCCTGGCCTTTGTTATTATAAATACTTTCATTGTACAAAAGGATTTTTCAATCTGTGCATTTAATAAAAAGATTTTTAGTTGAAACTCTTTCTTTCGTATCTTTGTTTCTTCGATCGCACGTTCATTAAGCCCGTATCGCAATATTAGTTCACTCACACTCCACTCACGGTTCGCTCAAGATCCAATCAAATATTTTTCCATTGTTTATAATGTACACATCAATATTACAGGTAATGCTAATAATATGGATATATACAGAAGTATAACTTCAACATACAAGTCAGTATGACGGATTGCTTGCTCCTATTCGGACGATAATGCAGAGGTTACCTTTTAATAAAAATAAAATATATTTTATGGATTTACTCTTTCTGCCCATTCTCCCCCTTTTACTTCACTTCTTCGCCCCCTCCCCCCTCTCTCCCTTCCTTCCTCCCTTTTTCACATTTTTGTTCCCTCTCTTTGTTCCCAAGGTTGCAAAGGTCACTCGTTGATTTTGTTGATGATGATATTTACAGTAATTCATACTTTTGCAGAAGTGATCTTTTATAGAAACATGGATGAAATACAATATATAAGACTTAAATATTTCTGTATCGTTCTTTCTAACTTCCCATTTTTATCGAACTTTTCAACGTAAGAAAGCAATTAAGAAATTACGCGAAACCAGAAAATATGTTGTATTATTTATTTTTTTAACTATCACTCTTATTCTGCTTAATTCCGTAATATTTATTTCTTAGTTTCACTTTTATAAATATCTTTTTTAATTTAATAAAGTTCTGTTGATAAACGGTCGATAAACTTCATAACGATCACGGTATAAAATTAGTTGCACATGTCATAACTGGAAGCACTGCAAATATCATTACTACAACAAAATCAACGAGTGATTTTTTCGGCAACCTCTGCATTATCGTTCGATAGGGGCAAGCAACCCGTCATACTGACCTGTATGTTGATGTTACACCCTGTACATTATAAACAATGAAAGAATATTTGATCGGACCGTGAGCGAAACGTGAGTGGAGCGTAAGCAGACCGGTAGTGTGATATGAGCCTAATAAGTGCGCGATCGAGGGAACAAAGATAGGAAAGAGGGAGGGAGAGAGGGGGGAGGGGACGAGGGAATGAGATGAAGAGGGGAGAATGGGCAGAAAGAGTAAATTAATAAAATATATTTTATTTTTTATTAAAATTGTTATTAAAACATTTTAATATTTAGCCGGAACGTATCCAGTCGATGCAGGGGGTACGGGGACATATCTAGCTGGTGCGGATGTCATTCCTAGCCTTTTTGGTAAACATAAACGATGTAAAGAACGCAGATCGTAAATACGCAAATGACTGTGATGATATGGAGAAAAATTATGCCTATGATATATACAAGGTGCACGATTTATCTGAAGACATTGAAATATCTCGAGAACTATGCATTGGATAAAGAAAAGTGGTTAATAAAAGTTGTTAGTCTCGAAGGGGGACATCCAATGATGCCAAACTCGACCTCCCATTCCACCCCCTGGGGGTGGGGGTTGAGGGCAACTTTGAAATCTTAAATGGAAACCCCCATTTTTTATTGCAGATACGGATTCTAGGCCACAAAATACGTAAATTTTGTCCGAAACTTTTTTTTTGATTCGTGATAGATGGCGCTGTAATCACAAAAAATTATATTTTCCGCAATTCTCCAGAAATGAACATTGGATTGAGAAATAAAAAATACCTGTTCAATATTTTTAAAGAACATAAAAGTTATTCCCCCCCATCCTCTCGGGGTAGGGTGGGTGGTAACGTTCAAATCTCAAATGGGAACCCGAATCGAAGAGGGAACTGCTCGACGCGCCACTGTGGATGCATGGCGAACTACGGCTTATTATAAAAGGCAGTGCAATGCCTACGGCTTATTATAAAAGACAGTGCAATTGAGATTTGAACGTTATCACCCACCCTACCCCGAGAGGATGGGGGGGGATAACTTTTATTATGTTTTTTAAAAATATTGAACAGGTATTTTTTATTTCTCAATCCAATGATCATTTCTGGAGAATTGCGGAAAATATAATTTTTTGTGATTACAGCGCCATCTATCACAAATAAAAAAAAAAAGTTTCGGACAAAATTTACGTATTTTGTGGCGTAGAATCCGTATCTGCAATAAAAAACGGGGGTTTCCATTTAAGATTTCAAAGTTGCCCCCAACCCCCACCCCCAGGGGGTGGGGTGGGAGGTCGAGTTTGGTATCATTGGATGTCCCCCTTCGAGACTAACAACTTTCATTAACCACTTTCATTAACCACTTTTTTTTATCCAATGCATAGTTCTCGAGATATTTCAATGTCTTCAGATAAATCGTGCACCCTGTATATAAATTATGACTAAAAATTATGACTGTAGAAATTATGACTATAAAAATTATGACTGTTATGATATGGAGAAAAAATATTACCATTTCTACAGTTGCACGGTCTGTATGCGAGAATATGATATTCTCAGATATATAAGCGCTCATTCCGATAGTTTGTTATTGAATGTAACGAATAATCCAGCAGAATCGTTCAATTCGATAATCTGCAAAGAAATCGGTGGAAAGTATATTAATTTTGGTAAACGAGACTTCTACGATGTTAGAATTGCGGGAGCAGTTGTGCAGTATAATACGCAACAAATCCTTATGCAAGTGCATAAAGACATATATAAGAGTGCTCCTCCCGTTGTCAGAAAACTGGGTAAACGATGACAGATAAAAGTTGTGAAAACCAGAGAATCTCGAGAAGTAGATGGAAGATCAAAAAAAGTTAAAACGAGAATCAGGAACAGATCGTTATTACGGCTCGCAATCGCAAAAACCAAATCTTTCACTTGATGTATACGAACAACTTCGAAAAAATCATTTAATATCCAGCCGGAACATATCCAGTCAGTGTAGGGGACATATCCAGTTGGTGCAGATGTCATTCCTAGCCATATTTTTGGTGAACATAACCGATGTAAAGAACGCGGAATAAGTTGTTCAAAAATAGTAGGAACAGAGAGAAAATTGAATACGATATGATAGATCAAAATGAGAATTATATTATTCATTGAAACGCGAAATGTTGACAGCATTCAATTTTGGAACCATGTGTCACCGTGTGTCATGAGATCGACAACGTCTCGCGCAGCAACCATAAAAAACATTTTGTTTCCTCCGTTTATCGACACCGTAACCATAAAATATGGTCGTGAAAGCGAAGAAAACGCAAGGAAAGAATTGAGTGTAAAGCTCAATAAAGAAATAAAAATTTACGGATTATTTATTGATAATGAAAATTTATGCTTGGGTGCTTCTCCCGACGGACTCATTGAAAAAGATGGTCTGATAGAGATCAAATCCTTTGTCAGCCAGACATTTAACAGCAGACGAAGCTATAAAGACATTGCTTCAACTGAAAGGCATTTTTGATAGAAAAAGTTCTGATAAAATGAGTCACAATCACCGATATTTTTATCAGGTTCAAGACCAATTGAATATAACGCAGCGAGGTTATTGCATTTTTATTATATGGATGTCAAAAAGTTTTAAAATTATACGTATTAACAAAGACGTTGCTTTCTGGGAAAATAAGATACTGCGCTATTTGACACACTTCTATAATGAATGCTTCCGGAAATCTTGGACAACTGCCATAATAGATATGTCAGTTAGAGATACAAGATATATAATGGAAGCTAAAGAAGAAGCATATAAAAAAATTATTAGTCGAAAAACTAACCGACGAGATATAAAAAGCGAAAGCATCCAAGAGAGTAAACGATTAAAATCAAATGTTTTGCAATCTGCTCCTGCTTCTCTAGATATAGAGCAAAATGACGATTGTCATCTCTTTGTTAATTACTCGAATGACAAACGAGATCTAACAAAAGATGATACGGCAAGATATGAGAGAATTCTTGATGACATGATTACTTCTTTTTCTTTGGTGAAATATCCTGCTTAGATGCAACAAGTTAAACGATGAATCGTTGGATCGATTTTTATGCGTCGTGAGGAAAACTTCTGCATTTGAAACACAAAGTGTGCTATATTTAAAATTATCTCACATGATTATAGCTAGTCAAAGCAATAAAAGCTTACAGATCATTGGAGATAATTGCAGTGATCATTGGCGATGTATTTTCTTCGATGACATCAAACTTCACGTATACGACAGTTTATCTGACTGCACGTACTATAAGTTGGTAGATAAAGAAAAAAATTATTAGGTGTGTGAATTAATTCGATTCATTTAACGATCAATTGCTGTACTATGTAATTTTCTA